GACGGGGTTTCACCACGTTGACCAGGATGGTCTCGATCTCTTGACCTCGTGATCCACCCGCCTCGGCCTCCCAAAGTGCTGGGATTACAGGCTTGAGCCACCGCGCCCGGCCCCCAAGTGACTCTTAATCTGTTATTTAATTTTGGTCTAGTGAATAAATATAGCAAAAACAAACAAGAGCTCCTTAGATGTAGTTAACATTACTGGTATGGTTAAATGGCTGGTCCTTTTCCTCTCAAAATCTATTTATATGGTGAAGATCACATGGATCTTTATTTCCTAAGTGGAGTGTATTGCCTTTGCCTCTGAGGGAATTATTCCTGCTTCTCGTTTCGTTTGCATTTCCTTTCATGTGTATTAGATTCCTATTTCTTTGAGAGTTTGTATCCTTGCAACATTCCTCTGTGTATACTTAATATTCTGCTTGACTAATAACAAGGCAATATTATTAATTTTCATTAATATTTAGAGTTGGAACCTCACTCTGCTGCCTGGGCTGGAGCGCAGGGCATGATCACAGCTCACTGCAGCCTGGAACTCCTGGGCTCAAGGGATCCTCCTGCCTCAACCTCCCTAGTAGTAAGGACTACAGGTGCTCACCATTATGCCTTGTTACATTTTTTAAAATCTTTTTTAGAGACACGATCTCCCTGTTGCCTGGGCTGGTGGTATTACACTCCTGACCTCAAGCCATCCTCCCACCTCAGCCTCCCAAGTTGCTGGGCTTACGGGCATGAGACACAGTGCCCAGCTACAGCAAAATAATTTAATGAAAGCTCTTTTGTTCTCACTCTCTCCTTTTACTCCTCTGCATTTCTAGAAATGCTGATGGCTGGCCATCTACATCACATCTTCACACATTCCAATATGCGTGAGACTTCCTTAGATAAGCTCCTGACAAAACGCAGAGGGGGTACACCTAGGGGACAGGAATATCAATTTTGAAAGTATCAAAACATCCTGTTTCCTAACAAAAAACATTACCATGGTTAAAAATGTGCTGTAATTTCATAAACAATTTCAACACCGGTTTCTCTTAAGTTCTTAACTTTGAAGTGAATAACAAAACCTGAATTTCGGCAAAATATCTCAGATTCACATGTTTTCTTTTTGTTTTTTCCATTAGGCACACAAAGAAGGTAGCTTGTTCATTCTTGGTTTCTGTCCTAAAAACAAGGGGGTCAACATAATGAATCTTGATTCTCTCTTTTTAATCACTTAAATTTTACTTACAATGGTTGAATCTTAGCAAAAACTTTCTTTCACTAATCTTGTCTTAATTCAGAACCACTCATAACTCTCTTTACTATATATTTGGGTGAGGTGTGGGGAATCCCTGCTTTTAGTCACCTTTAAGGCCTTAGTTTCTATTTCACATTATTTATGTGTTGATTTCATAAACTCATTTAACATAAGTTAACATATTGTACACCTAATGTTTCCAGGTACTCTTCTATCAGCTGAAGATTTAAAGATGATAAAGTCTTTGCCCTCAATAAGCACACAATCTAGTACTAGTTTTAGCCCCACAGTGGCTGAATTAAGTCTATTATAGAAGACCAGTTTGGGCTGATACAGTGGCTCACACCTGTAATCCCAACACTTTGGGAGGCTGAAGCAGATGGATCACTTGAGGTCAGGAATTCAAGACCAGGCTGGCCAACATGGTGAAACCCTGTCTCTACTAAAAATACAAAACAATTAGCCAGGTGTGATGGCACACGCCTGTAATCCCAGCTATTCAGGAGGCTGAGGCATGAGAATCACTTGAACCCAAGAGGCAGAGGTCGTAGTGAGCTGAGGTCACGCCACTGCACTCCAGCCTGGGTGACAGAGCAAGACTCTGTCTCAAATAAATAAATAATAATAAAGAAGATCAGTTTAGAGAAGATAGAGAAGAGACTCTATCTTTATAGGAAAAAAGGGAGAGTCTTCTAAACTGTGAGAAGTGGTAAGACAGTGTAATGAAGAGAAATGTAGCTGTCTCCTGTGGTATGTGTCTACATCTCACTTTTGTCCTTTCTATGGAAGAGTTAGAACAACACTGGTCTGTAGAGTCCCTGGTAGAGTTTTCAGAGTCCCATGATTTTACTTCTTGTGGTCTTTGATTATGATAGAGGCAAGAGGCAGAGAAATTCTAGATAGACAGGGGTGTGTCCCTGGTGAAACCCCACTTTCAAGCCAAAATAGCTTGAAACCCACGGTCCAAAGTGAGAACTTCTATTCCTGTTTGCTTATTCTCTTCTGAGTGGTTCTTTCTGAATAGTGTCTTTTTACCAATCGAATATTGTTTTTTCCAAATCTATCTATGTCCTGCCCCACCCATATCCTGTGCCTATAAAGACCCCAGACTCAGTTGGTAGAGGGAGAGAGATGGACCTTGGAGGAGACGGCCAGATTTCAGAGAGACAGCCAGTCTTCAGGGGTGACGGCCAGACTACAGAAGAGATGACCTGACTTCAGGGAAAGACAACCTTCCCATCCTCTTTGCTCTCCAGCTCCCCTCTCCACTGAGAGCCATTTTCATAGCTTAACAAAATTCACTGCCCTTCAATTGTCTGTGCAACCTCATTCTTCTTGGACACCGGACAAGAGTTTGGGATCCACTGAGTGCAGACACCCAAAAGGCCATCACACTGGCCCTTTGCCCTCGCTGGTGGAGGGCAGCCACTCCACACAATGAGGCAAGCGGCCAACTGAGCTTCTAACAAACCACCATCACAGACAGCAGATATAACACTCCCTCTGGGCTTTGGGATCACAGGCATCCTCACCTGGGTGCCGCCATGGGCCCACATGAAGTTTACTCCTGCTGGTGCTCAGAGTGGCCAGCCAGATCCCACACACCCACTCATGTGCTTCCTCCTGCAAGGGGTTGAGCACAGTGGGAGTAAACAGGGCACCCCTGTTGCAAGTCTGGCAAAGAGGCTGAAAAAAATCCTGTATCAATTAGATGTAGCATCTTGAGGGGCTGTTTTAGCCAGTTATTTAGGTATTTAAATAGACGGCTGAGGGGATGGCAATAAAGGGAGCTAAGACTTTACAGAAATCTAGGTGAGGCCTCTGAACATCTATGCAAGTGTTTAATTCACTGGCTAATAACTGGAAAAAGAAGTAATTATCAATATACTTAGGAGTATTAAGTACTATGTGAAAGCATATATTGCAGTGATAAGGCATCCAAAACACTGCATGAAAGAGGAATTATTTTTTGATGTTCCTCTCACACGCTGAGTTTGAAAATATTCAGAAGAATTGAAACGACAGAATTTAGAAAATTCAAAACATTATTGAGTGATATCCTATTAACAAAGAGATGAATGTGCAAAGAGAAAACTAAAACATTGAGATATGATATAGAAAGACTAAACCAAGGCTTTCTGAAGAGAAATTAAAACTAGGATTGTGGCTGGTTGCAGTGGCTCACGCCTATAATTCCAGCACTTAGGGAGGCTAAGGCAGGCAGATCATGAGGTCAGAAGATTGAGACCATCCTGGCTAACATGGTGAAACCCCATCTCTACTAAAAATAAAACAAATTAGTTGGGCATGGTGGCCTATGCCTGTAGTCCCAGCTACTTGGGAGGCTGAGGCAGGAGAATCCCTTGAACCTGAGAGGCGGAGGTTGCAGTGAGCTGAGATTGAGCCACTGCACTCCAGTCTGGGCAACAGAGT